TCATTCCAAGTCACAACATACTAATTTTCATACATCTCTGTGAAATTTCATTTAAATAAACTTCACAGATGGGAATTCACCAGATACTTCATATCTTAGGTTTGGTGAATTAGATTCTGTGCCTGATTTTGAGCATTTAACTGGACCAGAAGCAGGCTCTAACCTCTGACATCTTTCCCAGTATCTCAGCAAGATCTGCCCTTTGTGGCTTGCATTTTACTTCACAACTCTTTAGGAGCATAAAGTACATGCATAGCAAATACATGCATAGCAAACATAGAGAAAATCAAATACTGCATGGAGGTCTAAAATGTTGCTTCTACTCAATAAATTTTTCAGAAAGCTGTCTTGCTTTCTCAGTTTTCTTACCAGTCTGAGGGACATCTGTGCACTAGGACTGTAATATTTTGGGGGTGTACAGAAACATGGCTCAGCAGTTATAACTTCTTATATGAACTAGGAAGTTCTTTCAGTACTTCATCTGACTTTATTATTTTCACAAACAATCTGTGTCCTTCTTGAAAAAAAAAAATCGTTGACCTTCTCCTGTTCCCTATTCTCACCAACGGCTTCTCGTTTCTTAGTGATTTTCTCAAGTTTGTACATCTATTCACTGATACCTAGCCTCTGTTTTGCAAGGTTTGCATAGTTAAGACTGACAATTATCTATTTTACTTCTCTAAGGAGTATGTTCATCATATCACCTGAAAAAAAGTTGATTTCGTACACAAATACTGTTGTCCAGTAGCACAGAAATCCTCTTGCTAGCAATGTTGTAATTAGAACCCCAAATTTCTGACTAGGTAGATTCCCCCCCTCACCAGTGAAAGCACCACCTTCATCAGCTGAGACTCAGGTAATCATCTCACCCTACTGCTTGAAAAACACATGTAAAGAATGAGCTTAAGCCCACTGTGCAAATTTCTACTGCATCATTCTTTATGTAAAGTAGTTTCTAACACAGACTTCGCATGAAAAATGTTTCACTTCTCACTTGGAAAAGCCCGTTAAGGAAATGTGCTTGTGAGTAAACAAACATTAGCTGCTGAAAATTGCATTGAAAATAAAACCAAAAGTGAACTCAGTAGTTCATTAAAGTCAGCTTTTAACAATATTTGCACAGTGCACTTACCTGTTTCAGCTACTTTTTACCATATGGCTGCATATTGAGTTTGAGTGAAATAATAACAAGCATTGGCTATAAAAAAGTATTACAGAGTGTGCTAGACATATGGTGAGGAAAACCAGGATATCTTGTTGAACCAGATCGTAGTCATTGATCTAAGGCTATACTTTAAGGCCACATGTTCATCAGAGTAAAAGAAAAACCAGATAATTACAAAGGATATGGAAGTTAATGTGAGCAACAAATTTACAGTCAAAGGTCATTTTGGGTTAGAAGGGACTTCTAAGATTGCTTAGTTGATCCTCATCCCCACAGAAAGAAAAGACAAGTTAGACTTATTCCTAACAGTGACCCTTTACTGACTGTATAGAGGAGGTTTGTAAAACCTTTCTCTGTAACTGTTTTGTGGAGTAGGTAGGTAATTGTTTTGGTGCTAAACTGGATGGTTGTGTCAGATGAAAGAAGAAATTCTGTAAGAAAAGATGACTGCAGTATTTCTTAAGACTAGAAATACTAGGGGTTTCTTGATTCCAAAATTCTAAAAGACATTTCCAATTGCTCCCATAATCAGAATCAGCTGGTGGTTTTCTAGTATGCAGACTTAAGTCTTGCAAGGCATTTCAACTGGCTGTTAGGAATATCTCTTTCCCTTCAGTCTTCTTCCAGATAATAAACTTTCTTGATGTTAGCAGGTGCTTTCAGGCATGTCTATGGTAATGGGAATCAAGAAAATAGTATAGGTTTAGGCTGCTGCCATTATGAAAGTGAACTTGGTACAAACAGCTAATCTTATTCTGCTCTATGCTCTTAATCACAGACCAAACTGCAACTCACACCTACTGAAAATGTTGTGGTTGTAGAAAAGATGAAATAAACCTACTGTAAGCCCTTAAAATCTCTGGTAGATAGCAGAGGTGCAGAATGAACAGAAATACTAATCACCCAATTTGCCAGTTGCTCCTGTGCTAAAATGGCAAGTATCTCATTCATACATAGTAAAGCAGGTCAGTGGATTGGAAAAGATTTTCCTTAGCCATACCAGTAAAATTCAATACTGAAAACAAACTCTCTACTTGCTTGTGAAAAACGGTCATCATTAAAGTTCAGTGAACTATGTTTTAGGTGACTATAAACCACTGAGTAGAATCTTTGCACATGTTTTCACAAACATTCCACCAACTTCAGTTGAATCCCTACTTTTTTCCAGTACACTAAGATTCTATTGCTTATGACAATCACCTAATTGAGAAAAATATATGGAGATGAAAGTCAAACTCTAAAAATACCTAATAGTTTTATGCTCTAACAACATCATGACTCACTGTAAAGCTCAAAACTATAAAAAACCCAAACAAAAAGACAACAACACTACCAAACAAAAACCTCCAGCAACCCAATATTTAAAAAAAAATCCAACAAACAAACTAAACAACAGCAGCAACAACAAAAACCACAGAGAGAACACCCCAGTAAAACATAACACAAAACCTTCAAACATTTTGCAGGCAGTTTGTATGTGAGAACTCACTTCAGCTGTTTGGAGATAACAGCATGTAAAACAGTAGGTGAAGCAGAAAGAACAGAGACTCATCACATCACACATGTATCATATGCTCAGTGGTTTACAGTAAAAGACAAGTCTTGCATGAACTCATAGGCATATATAGACTGGCCAAGCTGCTGACAAGCTAACTTTCACATACTCAGATGTGACAGCTTCATAAGCATCCAGTGAGAGCTGGTGAAAATAGAAACTCATGAGCCAAAATATGTTTCTAGGTATTCTTATAGCTATTGCAGTAAACAGTGCTATTGTTCCATTCATAATGAAATAGAGTGGATAGGGCATAGGAGTTGTGGAAAACTGAGCTGCCCCTGCCTAGGGATGCCAGGTGAAACCTTTCAGTGTACAATCCAGTGAGAGGGAAAGCAGGGTAGTGTTTGCCATGCCTGTAAAATGGGCAGGAAATGCTACCCACACTTGTTCTTTGTTGCTCACACCAAGACAGCATTTACTCACCAGTATAAAATAATGACAAGATGACTTCCATTTCAGTAAGGAACAATGATAATCACCATAACCTAATTGCAAAGACTGCAGTATTTATGTTCATCCACATCAATTCCTTTTTTATTACTTCCATTTCATTTTCATGAGGAAAAAATAACTAGAAAAATGCAAAATTAACTCTTTCCAGGAACACAGTGGGTTAGATTTTGCCATGGCTGAGAGAAGAGCAAGGGCTCATAGTTCCCAGCAGAGTATATATCTGGAACAGAGAGAAATTGCTTGGCCTTATGTACTGACCCTTAAATATTGCTAAATGGTGCAAGCCAGCGCAGTTCCCAAGCTGCTATTCCGTATTAAGCTAACCAATACTTTAAGAAGCTGCCTCTGATTTTCTGACATGTGCCTGATTTGCCATGTCAGCAAGGACATAGGACATCGCAAGCCTAGTGCGGATTTGTCTCAGCTGAATCCAGTGGCTACAAATGGGTAATTAAAGACGCAATACATAGATATTAAATTACAGATGATGTCAGAAAGAGATTAGTTTTGTTCTCCACAAATAAAATCAATGGTAGTCTTGCTTTTTAAAATAAACTGTCCTGGTGAAACAAGAGAGGGTGAATGCTGATGTTCTGGTCTCATAGCAGCACTGTAGGTCCACTTTTTCCTGAAATAAATAGCTGCAAAGTGACACTGGAGAAGCAGTTCCCATGCAAATTCAGAGCAAGTGCTATCCAAAAACTTCAATCAGTGGAAGTCTTCTAAAAGCAGGATCATAGCAGAAGTAGCTTCCATGTGAATACCTTTCTTCAATCTTGTTACATCTATTTTAGTAGAACACAGCTTACTAAAGCCACTGGTCTTTCAAAACAATATGACAGATCTTACCCAGTGCCCTTACTTCACTATCTCATGACTAAGAGGGAAAGTTTTTTCATTTTGGATGTTTTTCCAAATCTGGCATTCCAGTATTAGGAAGCAAAGCAGCCTGGCATAGAAAAGACTCACTTCTTCGTCTGAACAAAGGCAAAATTACTGTTTAAAAATAACCAGTGCAGAAATCTGTCTGAGCTTCATTTTCATTTTTGCTTCCAAATTCCTCCTAAAGGAAATTCTGTTGAATAATCAGTTCAAATTTGAAACTTTTTTACTGTCATGTAGCATAGTATCACAGTTCATGGTTTTTCACCTGGCTTACTTGTGAGGTTTTATATACACATGAAAATTCTCTTATGCAACTTCATGTTGATTTATTGCTAATATTGGGTGGGGTTTTTTTTTTTTTTTTTTGGTCTGTCCTTTGATTTAATTTCAACCTCTTATTGTTGTGATATGAAATATGTTCTAGATACAAGAATGATACAAGTTATATGAGTGGATACAATGATGCGAGTGAGTACTTGTGGTAATACCCAGTTTAATATGTTAGAAAATTTGGAAATGGGATGTGGGCATGTAATGATGTTTCCACCAGAAAGATAATTGACATAAAATAGTATTTACAGCTTTTATTCAAATTCCACAAGATTTTTTTATTCCAAGCACCATTCCTGAGACTGGAACAGTTGATAAAGGCATTCTTAAACAAAAATCCCTTGAGCAACAGCAAGTCCGAAAGTAAAGTGTATCAAAGGCACTCAGCTGACCTCTCCACAGTGGTAAACCACATTTCGTGACAGCATAGTTCTCAGTAACTTCAAGAAGATATGGTATATTAGGAGGCATAGCTTTCCATCGCTGCAGTGCAAATACATCCCCATGAGTTCACTGTTTATCCTAAGGCTAAAGTGCTGTAATTTTCTTTTGAAGTCCCCAAAAACCAATGGTAAAAGTGCAAATTATGGCATGTAAGATGAAGAATTTTCACAGACTCACACTCCCACAGTCTCTTGAAGCTGTGACAGTTGACAAGTATAAAGCCTCAGTCTGAGAGTTAAAATCATCACCTTAAAGAAAGAAAATGCAATAGTATTAGTTTAAAAATCTGCAGTGATTTAAGAAAATAAAAAACCTGATTTTAACAAATGAGTGGTAAAGAAAGAAAGCTCAGTCTCCTGGATCATGCTGAAGTTATAATGGCTCCTTAAAGCTGTTATAATTTACAAGAACATCTGCTGCAGTCTTTTCTGAGGAAAGAATTATCTCTTTTATCTATAGTGCAAATTCTGAAGTTTCTATTACAGCAAAGCTATCACTCACTTTCAGCCATATACATGAAATAACAAAACTGAAATCTGTTTAGATTACCAATCCATGGTAATGATTGTCAGTAAATATGTGCATGTGATTAAAAGTGTGCAGAACTGGGACTTCAGTGATGAGTTTAAATGTCCTACATATTCAATTCTGATACAGCTTGAGCTGTAAGTTAAAACTTAGCATTAACAGTCCTTGTTCCTGTAACCAGGACTGTAAGGGTCATTTCCAAGGCACTGTAGTAAAGTATCTGTGGCTTTTATGCTTCAACTACCTACTCATCATGGAAAAAAGGTTATTTCCAGGGTTTCTTAAAAATATCCAATGCTGAGAAATATAAATGTTTGTCATCTGACTTACTGCATGTTGCAAGTAAGACAAAGTTTTTTTGTCATTAAAATGAAGAAGTAAAACCACAAAGAGTGGCCTTGTCTCCTTTAATTTCTTCATTTCACTAAGTGCACAGAAGACGCTACAAAATACAAATACAAAAGAAAAATACAAAAGTAATACAAAAAGCCAGGGGAAGCCAAGCTATGCTTGGACAATATGCACTGGAATGATGTCCAGACATGCACCAACGCTGTTCTCCAGAATGCTGCTTGCCTTGAGCTTGTGTTCATTAGTGCATGGCATGATGCCACTAAAGTTTCACACTGTCACATGAAAAATAAGAATGAGACTTTGACTGCAGCAAGGTTTCTGGAAGATGAAAGTGTCTTTCTGAAAATGTTGCTTCAATTGCAGTATCTACTGACGGCAGTGGATCAAACACAGTTAAGCTGCAAACATGACAATCTGAGGTGATTTGGAAATCAGTGAATTCATGCCCTCTTCATCCAGTCTCTAGGTTTCACCTACAAATTTAATTTTAAGGACTTCTTCATGTATTTTTTTAGCAGTGAGAAACATGGGTGGATTCTCAAAGAAATTCTGTCCTTGGAAAAGCACTGAGTTGTCTCTGTTCACTTGGTTAGCTGCATGACAGTATTACTCCATTTGTGCTCCTTGGCAGCCTCAGGGCTGACCTCAATATGCTATGTGAGGGTCTGCTTGGACACCAAGGAATTATGGCTAAACCAAGTATCTAACACTGGCCACAGCCTCTTACCTCACAATGCATTAGCCTGTCAAACTGTTATCTGTAGGTAACAAAATTGATTTATATTGGTAAGTGTATTAAGATTTTCCTTGTCATGTTGATTTATCATTTTCCATAGTGGTATCTTTTTTATTTTTCAGTTTAATTTTAGTACGGAGCAGTTAGATGCATCCTGACAGTTTTTTAGGTATTCCCTCTGAAATGTAAAAATTTCTGGATGTCTAGGCAAGTCAGATTGTTATAGGACAAGAAGTAGCATAGGACATGATATAATATTCCAGATAAATGAGGTATCATTTTATTGGTTGTTAAAACCTGTAGCCTGATCCAAAAGTATAACAGACTATTGTCACAAAAATCTTGATGCTATCCAAAAAAAACCAGCTTTCTGTGAGTATCCTTGTCAGCCAAGACTATTAGAATCCCAGGTAGTATACAGAGGTGTGTGCTGAGTTGTGCATGAAAGCTATTGGTACCTCAGTGAAAGAGAACCAGTTTTTATAAATTTTTACATTGCCCAAGAGAAAGTAAAATCTTTAGAAACTGCATTTTTAAAAAGCTCAAGAATAAAAGGATTTAACCTCAAAACTACCCTCTATTCTGATGTAACATTATTTAGGTTTCAATCTACATATTTTTTAAGATTTTAGATGTAAGAAAGAAAAATCTGTAAATGTAAATTTTAAAAATTGCCTGTGACTTACTGTTCTCATCCTTTGCATTAGGGTTCAGTTTTCTTTTCCTGTCTGTTAAAGCAAATATATACAAATTTAGCTTAAACATTTCTAGATTTGAAAGAAACTGTATTGTAACTATAACTATTCAACAAATCTTTACATTAAACTGAGCTGTAAGTTATTATTAAATCATATCAAATAAATAAACTTCTCTACTTTTCTTTTACAAAACTCAAATCAAAAACTTTACAAAACTTGAATCAAATTCTGAAGTCATAATGTTAAGACTCTCTTGACTATAAATACATATAGTCTGGTTTACTGGAGTCTATTCATGTGCAAGAAAATACTAGAATAATAGTCTGTTTGCTTTATTAGTTTTGTATTACTGCAAGTGCAAACAAGAAAGGAAATACTGTGATAGTCCTGTATCACACCAGTTTAGTTATAGACCCAAAATGGTGTTGGAAAATAAAAATTCTGTGTAATATACTGTAGCCACAATGTCTTTGCAGCTATGAAGAAAACACTGTTCAAACTATGCTTTTACAGTCCTCCTTATGCAAAATAAAGTTTGTTTTGCTCTGTACAGAATACTAACTGATTAGCTTTAAAAATGTATCTTTCCATACACCTTGTCTCACATAGGAAACACAGTGAGGAAAATAAAACCCAACTCAATAAAACCCAAGATCTCCTTTTCTAGCCTCTTGTAATCTGGAAATAAAACGTGACATGCGAGTGTGCCTTATTAAAATTTCTTCGAGGTTGTTCATAGGAAAAAGTAAAGAAATAGTAAAAAGTTTCACTATCTGAAGTAAAATGTACCTTTTTTGGGTTGCTCATTGTTGAATGATTTTCTCTTCTGAAATATTATTAGTGCAGAGAGAAGGACAGCTACAGTCACACATGTGGGGATGATTAAAGAGACCAGGAATTTTTGTCCACTATACTGTGTACTCATTAAAGCTGTTAAAAACATTAAAGGAGAATAAATTTATAACTTACAAAACAGGCATTGTTTATCAAGTTACTGGTTCTGTTTCTGCAAAGTCTTGCTCTGACTGAACAAAGGATTTTTAAAATTTATCAGCATAGTGATTTACACTCATTAATAATTTGTTCTGAAATATTACTGTGAAAAACCTTTAAAAAAGCCTTCAAATCTTTTATTTGTATGGAATTTGAGTCTGGCATCATCCTATTGGCATCTGCCTTTGAAATATTTATATATATTGATGAGACGTCCTCTCAGTCTTCCCCAAACTAAACAGTGTCTCCTAATAAGAGAGATGCTTCAGACCCCTCATCATCCTTGTGGCCATTGCTGAACCCTCTCCAGTACCTCCTTCTCTCTTGTGTCCTGAGGAGCCCAGAACTGAGCACAGCACTGGGCACAGCACTCCAGATGTGGCCTCACTACTGCTGAGTAAAGGGGCAGGATCATCTGGCTCAACCTGCTGGCAATGCTCTTCCTAATGTGCCCCAGGATACCATTAGCTTTCTTGGCTGGCTCATGGAGAGCTTTTTGTCTGCCAGGACTCCTAGGTCCTTCTCTGCAGAACCACTTCACAGAGGTCAGCCCCAGCCTGTGCTGGCATGTGCGGCATTCCTCCCCAGGTGTAGGACCTTACCCTCAGTTGAACCTCACTAAGTTTCTCTCTGCCCAACCCTCCAGCTAATCAAGGTCCGTGGAATGGCAGCAGAGCCTTCAGGTGGATCAGCCAGTTTAGTGTCACCAGCAAACTGTGGAGGGTGCCTTTGATTCCTTTGTCTGGGTTGTTGATAAATTGAATAAAAATGGACCCAATATTGATCCTTAGGGAATGCCACTGACAGCAAGCTTCCATCTGGATTCTATTCCTCTGATCATGACGTTCTGGACTCTGTAATTTACCAGTTCTTGATCCTTTTAAACTAACCCACATTTCCTGAGCTTACCCATGAGGATACTGTGGGTGACAGTGTCAAAAGCCATGCTGAAGTCAAGGTAGAAAACTAGATAGAACAATTAAGTAGGAGACTATCAGGGAAGATGCCCCTGCAGCTGAAAAAATTCCCTCTGTATTGGCAGGAAAATAAGGAAAGCTATTCTAAAATTAAAATATACAGAAAAATACAGACTGGTTTGTTAGAGTGGAAGCTAGCTGACTTCAAAGACATAAATAATATTGACTTGTACAGTTTATCAAGAATCAATATTACACTGATTTCTAGAACTGAACTCCAGTAATGGAGCATAGCACATGATATATGTATGAACACTGTCATGTACAAGTTCAAGGTCATACGAACCTAAAGTGGAAAAGTGAGCTGAAGTTTCTCCATTCAGTTCTTTATTCCAGAAGACACAAGTGTAGTTCTCACTCATATTTGGTTTGAATGTCAGGATGGTGGTGACATTGTAGAGGCCATCTGCAGTCAGTGTATAGGTGGTATTTGCAGATCCACTGAGATTGAGGTTCTCATTTTGCCAGAAAACCTTTGCCAGAGGAAACCCTTCTGACTGGCACATAAAAACAAACTTGTCTTCACCTTGTATTTTCATTACTTGAGTGTTTATTCTCCTGTAAGATGCTGCATGAGAAGTTGTTGAGTGAAATTCTTGTATGCAACAATAGTAATTTTCTCACTTCACTTTCCCTGCTTCCTTTTAATGCTATGTATTGTCTCTGGCTGTATCTGTGGAACATGTATTTAAAATGATGAAGGTTGTTTTGTAGAACAATGCAAAATGGAGTATTCAATCCTTACCATGCCTACAGAAAAGAACATACTCCAGTACTTTATACAGGGCAGCAGTTGACACTAAATTTGTGATTTATTAAGACAGAACAGACAAGTGGAATCTTATGGGATTCTTATTTTCACTTTTAGAATATGCCACTTCCAGAAAGCCTGATAGCTTATAAACAGTGTCATATTTTCATCATATTAGAAAAAAATTGACTTTTCATAGGAACTAATGTGGGTCTTGAGAATGTGTGTGTCCATTTTTGCATTTGATAAATATTGTTATTTAAATATCTGGGTGGGAAATTAATTCTGCCTTGCGTCACAAACACATGCAATTAGTGAAAAACACCAAAAATCTTTCAAAGATCTGGTCTGTCATACTTTGCATTAACATATACCTTTATTACTAATGCCCGTTTGACTTCAATGGACACAGAAAATCACATGTCCTTGCTCTGGGAAGTGCAGTCACTGGGGAATCCCCAGCCACTTGGGTCATTGCAGCAGGATTAATAAGTACATCAAAGCATCTCTGAGAAACTTTTTGGAATAACCAGAGGGTGGCCCAACAAGGGGATCAAAGGAGAGGAGGGAGGTGGTGGCACTGGAGAAGAAGGCTGTAGAAAGAAGGATGGAAGGAGAACAGATGCTGTCCCTTCCCAGCACCAGATGTCCCTGGAGGAGCTCAGCTGTTGAAAGGCTAGCCACCACTAAGACAACTTTGCTTTGGTTCAGCTGGGGGATGAGTACAAAGTCTTGATGGGACAACCAGCTACAAATTCCTTCAGATTAATCAATTTCTACAAGCCTGTAGGAATTTAGTAGAGACATCTCAATGAATATACAATTACATTTAATTTAACCACTCACCTCTTACTTCCAAAGCAATGTACTTGTAGTCCACGCCCTGGTAGTCAATGAGACAAAGGTATGATCCTGCATCTGTTATCTTAACATTGGTGATCTGGAGGATGGCTCGTCCCAACTTCAGTTCACTGTGCAGAAGTGATGCTCTTCCTATGTAATCAGGATGTTGAGATGGATGGAGTGCCCTCCCACTGCGGAATGTGTACACCTCTTTTGATTTCAACGAGCCCTGCCTTTTCTGCTCCCAGACAACAGTCAGGAGTCCTAGATCCACTGAGCCATTCACAGGGAATCTGCATTCCATGGTGACATTGCTCCCATACTCCGCAGTGTACAGCTGTTGAGGAACTTCAACTGTAAATAAAGCTATGTGAGGAAAAGAGAACAGTTTCATTTGTTTCATCAAAATATGTTCTGATTTTCTTTAAAGTTGGACAAAACTGTGTCAGATAGTGTACAGATAGTATACTGTATACAGATAGTCAATAGTATATGATTTGACTAAAAGTTTTAACCATTTTTTGTTCATATTCACACTAATATTTTTATCACATAGTAATTACAGCAAATCATCGATATTCTGTATTGATTACAGAATCTGAAAGATGAGGGCAGAATGACCCAGTTTTTGATGGTGGGTTTTGTTTGTTTTTGGGGTTTTTTTATGCATTTTATGAGTAATTTAAAGCTAGACCAGTGGCTACACAGGGACCATTTTTATCAAACTATGATATGGTCTCTTACTTGTCCTAAGGTTGTAGTAAAAGCAACAATTAATTGTGGAAATTGTAAATCTAATGTCACTATCATTCACAAAAAGAAATACCAGTGTAGTTCCTGTGAAACAGAGGTGCACTGGATAAATGTGTATAGCTCAAAATTGCTATGCAGCAATTACAGACTCCACAAACCTGGAACTATGTGAGTATCATTTGATCTCATGCATTTTCTCAGATACATGCAACAGTATTACAGAAAATATATCAAAATAATCTTAGCCATTCACCCAATCTGAAATTAATATTGTTATGAAGAGGTCTCCATTTTAAACTGTACTTGATATGGCAGTTATTTCTAATACAACATTCAATATACTTTGTTACTGCTTTCTGTATTGGATGTGCTATATATTGGTTGACAATTCAGGAGCACTTGGAAGTGTCGGTAGAGACACTGAAAAGAGAACTCTGTGCAACTGTTTAGGCATTCTTTTTGTTTTATGTGTCTCTGAAATACTTGCAGGGAAACCTTAGCACAGCTAGGTTCTTCTTAGTGATGTTTTTTTATTCACTGTAATACAGCTGTAGCAAGGGAGAAAATTATGTGAAAAAGTGCAAGCTCCTTTTGGGTTTTAGCCAAGCTGCTTCTGCTACAGGCATGGACAGGGGAACGCAAGTGATTATACTTCACGCCATCTCACACTGAGATTGTTATGCTTCCCAGTGGGCATTGGTCGCTTTGGTCATTCTCCTTCTCACAGCCATGCCACTGATGCTGGACATCTCAGCTGCCAATACACAATACGTTAAAGAAGCCTGACTCTGGAAAGTGACAGACACCTATCCTGTGCTCAGGCAGTACCAATGCCTTCTATAAGATGGAAAGAAGAGCCTCCAGACATTACTGACCATTCCTGCAAGTATTGCTGGAGGTGTTGAAGCCCACATAGTAAAAGCTGCATTAGTTCTGCTAGTGGAACTGAAAGGCAGTTTCTCTCTTACCTGAGACCATGGAGAGCTTTGTTTCCAGCAACAGTATTGTGAGGATTTTGAACATTTTTTCAGGTAGATCTGAAATAAAAGAAGAATTGCATTAGAACTTGCAACAATTACCTTCTGCTGAGGCAGATGGAGCCATGCTAGCATTTAAAATCCATCACAGCTCATAAACAGCAAAAACAGAAACAAGGAAAATCTGTATTAGAGCAACTCATGCCCACACAAAGAATATGAACCAATGACAATGAACCAGTGGCAATAAAGAGAAATGAAACATTTCCACAACTTCAGTCATGACATTTTCAAGATCTGTAGCTTGCAGGCAGTTTCAAATAGACTGACAGGTAAATGCTTTTATATTTTTTACTATCCACAAATAATAATCAATTGCAATTGACTTCTCCCATGTAGGAGAGATTCATGAACAAACACAAGCAGACTTTATAACTGTCTGCACTAACACATGATCTAGTTTACAAGATTTTTAATCCTGCTTTTGTTTCAGCTTTGCTTTGCATGGAGTATTTTGCAGTTTCCTATTGCCTTAAAGACCAGGAAATACTTGGAACACATTGTGAGGCGGTGGAAATCTCAGGGTGGATAAATTGAAGTTTGCTTCAGAAAGGATTAGAATGAAGACTTACTGAAGCTATTTTTTCACCTTACATATGGCAATGTCTGACATGTACAAATCACCTTGTATTACTGATAGTAAACCATCAGCCCTGGAATAATGCAAAAGGAGAAAGTACAGTTTTAGTGTATTTGTGTTCCAGTAGCAAGCAAACTATCACATATTTTCCATACTATTGTATGCAGATCAACATAACTAAAAAGAGAAAAAAACCCAAACAACAAAGAAGCACCAGGGGCAAAATTTATAGCAAAACTAATGAGATATCAGGAAAGACAGAAGAATTACTTTGAATAAAGATTGTTAACATGCAGTATAATCTGAAAAATATAGTGAATAACATCCAGAAATAAGCTACAAGGAAGTAGAGAAGAGAAGGAGCAATTTTAGACTTCCCCAGAGCTAGATTTATTGGAGGAGGGGTTTAATTTTACTTCCCTATTTTTTTGTGGGCTCAGCTTGAAACATTCTGGTTCCAGTTTTCTCAGGTGCTGCATTTTTCTCATTGCTTCTACCCTTGAGCTTTCAATCTTGGAAAGTGAGGCTCAAACCTTAGCAAATTAGCAGCCAAAATTATATGACTTTTTGATTTGATGTCACAAATAAAGGTTTATATGCAAACTACTGTAAGCAGACTTATTAGATGTAAATGAAGGCTAGTTACCTTTATCAGAGGATGAAGTCCATCACTATTTAATGCATGATGAATCATAATTACTATGGCTGTGTGAGAAAGGAGCTAATAAACTCCATCAGTATCTCTATTTTCCAGATGCAGAAGAAAAGACTGTTACTATTTACTATTCTTAGTCTCCTACTATGCTCACTTCTCCACACAGCTTACCTATCAGAAGATGGACATAAGGGAAAGAACTAAATGAAGAATGAAACAATATTTCACATCAATATTTAGATCCATGGATTAACCTTATGTGAGACATTTTAGGTATTCTTCTCTCTTTTTATAGTTTAGAGTACATTGAGAATGCAGAGCATGTTTATTTTTAATGCAGGAGATAAGATTTTTAAAAATACATATATTACTGATAGGAAAAATAAGAAGATACACAATCTGCCCCAGTAGATAGTCATAATTATTACATATCAAGTAAATCTTGTCTGACCAGAGGGGTTAGTTTTAGAAAAGCATTACACATAATATAAATACACAAAAGAAAACAAACATTAGTACATTTTAACTTGGCATACTGAAAGCAGTCATAGAATGCTTGCGGGAAGCAGGAAGGATCTGTATTAGAAAGACCAAAGATCTCTGAGCACAGATGTGACTTAGAAAGATCAAGGATTTGTCAGCAAGGATCTGTATTAGAAGGCATCCTTCTTTATTTCCATAATCTCACAAGCAGACATGAAGTTGTTGTGCAACCTCAGTGCAATTTACCCATGCAACTTCATCATGTGGCTCTGACACACTTCCATAGAAGTGCCTGCACCAGCATCTGGAAGGTGATTTATTCTGAGCTTGCATTACTAACCATTCGTGATGTTACAGAATAGCCCTCATGTTCTCCCTGCTTTTCATAAAACATGTCATGGCCTGCTCTTCAACAGTTCTTGTACACAACTGTCTTAACTAATCCTAAGCTTATGCAAACATCTTTTGTTTTTCTGTTAAGCAAAAGACCATTTCTAAAATGTATTCATCATATGCCTCTTACAAATTCAGAGGGATAAAAGAAGGAACACTCTGCCATAAAAATTAATACTTAATGCTTCTTGCAGCAAAGTGAGGAAATGAAAATGCATGTCTGAGAACAGTAAGAAGTAGCATGATATTTCAAGAGCAATTCAGATGGAGTCAGTAAATTGATTTCCCAGACCAACCTGCAGAAGAAAAAGCAACTTATCACACAGTGCTCTGTGATTACGAGAGTTAAGTCCAAAAAACCTTGGATAATTGAGGTGGTAAAAAGCATCACATCAAACATCTAAAGATCATCATGGCTTTTTATGAGTTGTAATAGTTTCAATGAAGACTTAGGGCCCAAGACAAAAAGTTTGAACAGGACCAATGAAAACAAAAGTATGACAATGATCAGGGAAAATGAGGAATATAATGTTTTCTTTTTGTACAGCTTTTTTGCTTTACTGAAAATGCAAAGTTGAAACCCATACTTGACATCATTGGGCCACAAGCAACATATTCTGGTAAATTTTCTTAGTGAATGATGACTGAAATCCAGATGGCAATGATAATAAATTGATGAAGTTCTATCAAAGATGGAAATGATACTAAGTATTGTTTTTCTCTTCTTGATTCATTCAGTTGATCATGCCTGCGACTTTAGCCCTGGTCTCAGCTCACTTATCCAAGAGGGTTTATAACACTTGTCTCAAAAAAATGGGTAATTTTTGGCCTTACTTTATATAAAATCTTTAGTGGTTGTCCAAAATCCTTGTGTAAGGACTGAGAAGGATATTTCTTGTTCCTTTGGAAAATTTATACTCAGTATTCCCATTTCAAACTGTACAAGCTCCATGCTTCATGCAACTATATGATTCAATTTGCAACATAATGTATAGACTTTATTCCATTCTACAGACAGAAGTGAAAAGGTACTTGTCTTGACTGGATGTTATAAGGATGCTCTCAGGAACTGAAACAGGTGGCAAAATATGAACATCAATCTGCTACATGCTTAAATTGTGCAGCTCTTGAGCAAAAGCTTGGGTAGCTCATTTAAGTAGCCATCCTTTGTACAGACCTCTTTGGTATGTGTTTATTTACTGGATCCTATTTTCAGAAAACACTCATGTGTTTTCACCACAGTGCATTGGCAACTGAGGTTGGCACCAGTCTGGTCATAATAGTTAGGATTGATTTGGCATTAGTGACAACTCTCACAATGTTCATAATGCTAAGTTTACAAGAAGTATTTTAAGCAAAGGAATATGAAGATCACAGAATATTTTGCAATCTACTCCTTTGTAATAACGATTGAAACCCACATCTGAGTAATGTAAATTAAATCCTATTCTTTTCATCCATGAAAGATCATAATGTTTTTCCTAAGGAAAAGAAGCATCTTAGTGTAAGATCCCTGGAGCTACCTTTGATTAGTACCCTTGCTGTGACTGCTCCTGCGCATGGCAGAGGGGGGTTGGAGCAGATCACCTTTAAAGGTTCCTTCCAACTCAAATCATTCCATGGTTCTGTAGTCCTGTGATTATTCTCAACACCAGTTTAACAAAGGATCCCAAACAAAATCCTTGTGCTGTTCAGTAAACAAACAACCAGAGACACAGTCACTGATTCAGGGACCTCATAGTGGAATAAATAATGGAAAGCTCTTTCCTGGAAACATTGTTTCAGCTATTAAAATATTTGTTTTCCAGCAAATGGATGATTTAGAACAATAGACATTTAGACATTTAGTGTCTACATAATGAAATTTAGCAGCATTAAGCAAGGAGAGCTTTGTAGACCCATAACTTCCACTAGAATAATCAGAACAGTTGGAAAAGCTAAACAAACTTTCAAGCACACTGGCTTTCCTCCAGGTTTAAAGCAGGAGTCAAATCAACACAGAGGTTCACAATAATCTCTCAGATTTCACTCTGGAATATCAAAGTATTAAAGAACTAAGGAAGGGGCACTTGGTGCTTTTTAAGTTTAATGGCTATGGCACACAGACCCTTCTTTGAATTGTATTTCCCTGCAGACCAAGGTATCCCGCTGGCAGCACTTCTGACGTCATCCTGCTTGATTTTAGCAGGTATAACACAGGTGTTCTTACAACATAGAGGGAAATGGGGATGTTGAACTCCACGGCTGGGAGCTGGGAGGATGGAACTGTCACCAGGCTGGCCGGTTGGCCGTGTTCACCTCCACACAAACTGTCCCGTACACTTTTGCAAACAAGGTTTTGCAAGCAGTCTTGCATCCTGAGACATCTTGAGGTGGTAGACTTTGTTATGGATTTGAAATACCAATATTGCAGTTGATCTAGTCACTCCTACATTCCTACATTCAACGTTTTTGCTCTGCTGCTGACAGACTCTGCAACATTACTGAGCTGAGATCAGCTATGTTTTCCAAATGACTATGCTTTTCCTACTCCCTCTCCTTCTACACTCTCTGCCTTATTGTACAGCAAAGCTAGAACCCATACTGAGCACAGGACAGTGCCTTCTGGAAATAATCCAAAATGAAAAACTCATCTTAATGAAAAGCTATCAAGCTGTGATAACAGGCGTCTGACTTGGCTCCATTTGACTCTCCCTGTGTGAATTGGAGTACTATGCTCACTTAGTTAGAAAAGAGACTATCTTCTCATGCACCTATGTACCCAGCAAAAGATTATATGGTCCCAGTCACAGTTTCTTTTGTCTCTTTCTGTTACTGAAACTCCCCTGCCTTCTGTACATTTTCCAATGGAAGCAAGTTTTTTCAACAGCTTTCTTCTAACGCTCTCACATGTGCAAAAAGACACAACTTTTTGACATCTTCATGACATAGCTGAACTGATTTTACTTTCTGTGAAGGATCCAGTTAAAAAAAAAAAAGAAACAAACCAAAAAATTAAAGAAAAAAAAGTTTAAAAATCCTAGGTCATAAAATAAACAAGAGAATAAACAAAAACAAGCATTAGATCCTCATACAAACTACAGTTGTTCCATATCTCACCATCAGAAAGAAGGTACTTACTTTCTATTTCAGGAATTTAATAAAAAATCCTAACCATGCCTATTAAATTTTTTTTGAAGGCCATTTCTCCAGCCTGTCTCAGTATATTTTGTGGACATAATCTTGTTCTCAGTCTCTCAAACCTGCCTTATCCAAATGCCATCTCACCTGCTGTTCTTCTGTCTTTTGCACACTTGTTTCAGTCCCTTGTTGCCTACCTCACCACACTGGCAATTTATTTTTGGGATGATTGGTTTATTCCTGTTTACCTGTGACAGCCTAGTTGCATCATTTCAGTCTGCTCTCCATCTCCCTTCAGCCTTCAGATGAAGAGATAGAATTTCTCGCTTCCTCCTTTGCTCACACTATCTGTGAATTCTCACTTTCCCTGCATTGTTTAACTGTCACCTGTTGAAAATTTTCCACTGTCAGTTTTTTGTTCCATGACAAATACAATCATTATAATACACCTGAAATTTTTTTTTCTATAGATACTAGGATAGAATTGGGATGAAATTTTGTTACATTTAAAAAGCAGCTGTGTATATCATAGAACCTTTCAGAGCCTTTCAGCTCTTAGCAGCATTACTGAATACAGACTGACATTCTGGCAAAATATACACTGCAAATTTTTTTTCATATCTTCAGCTTCTACAGAAAGACTTCTCAGAGAGGCACAAGAACTTCTCCTCTTCATAGCTTGTGCTTTTTCTGGGATGCAGAAGATGAAAGTTTCCAGCCTTGCTGTACAATCAAAACAACCTGCAGGTAGTTTGTTAGTAACAAGTAAAAGAAAGTAAACAGGAATATATCGATATAAATATATACAGAGGCTTTTTTGTCCATTCAAATCCTCCCTGAAATTCAGGATGAAATATTTACTAAGAGCTACATCTTCATGCATAAGCTGAAGAGGCTCACCAGCACCACTCCTCTGCCTTTGCCTACGAGAGAAGATAGAACTGTAAGAGAGTTTCAACTTCTAAAAATATCAGCTTCTAAAATTATCAGCTTCTAAAATTATCAGCTTCTAAAAATATCTATATGGACCTGTGTTTTAGGATCTGGAACTTATCCAGTCTTTCATTCAGAATCAGAGTCTGTATCCCAGTAATAATTTGAAAATAAGTAAATCTTAAGAAGAAGTTGTAAAATTTAAGAATATAGGGGAAAAACCTGCAATCCATCAGCCAGAAATACAGGAAATATCAATTTGCATTTTATCAGTGTTATACTCACATGAGATCTTTATGCAGGTCATTGCAATAATTTGCAAAGATTCTCAAAGCTCTATCCTATTTGCACAACAGGAACCACCCAACTCTTATGACAGTGTATAGCATGCACCAATAGCACAGTTTGTAGGATGATCTTATTCAGGATTTAAGCCATAAGAAACCTGACTATGTTGAAGAAAGGACGTTTCTCAGGATGTTTTTATTTTCAGTTTCATGCTGAATGTACACTGAGCTCACTTCTCTGCATTGATGAGAATGTGCGTGCATGCAACAAAATTATACAAAGCATTCTGTAAAATTTATGTGCTCAAATTCTGCTTTTGAATCTAGCCATGATTTTCAGTGGGTTTATAAACATTTAAAGCAGTGTACAGCATTGGCATCTGAACTAGCATTTACTAGGACTGTTGTACATTCATGAAACTATAAAGTTACATTTTCTTACCTTCATCAGATTAATTTTACAAGAATTCATCAAGCAATTACCTAATATGTGCAGACTCTGTTTCCTTTTAATTTTCACCTAAGTTTATGTTATTACCAAAAAAAAAAAAAAAAAAAAAAATTTAAACTTTTCACTATGAGGCTAATCAAACACTTCAGTGAGGTTGCGAATCTCCGTGCTTACAAACTTTACAGGACAAAACTTGGGCAATTGTTTTTAAGATGTCATTGCTTTGAGTGGAAGATTGGATTAGATGACTGATAGATCCCCTTCCAATATAAAAGTATTTTGCTCTATCAAACAGCTTTATCAATGGATGCATCTTTTCATTTTTCATCACTCTATCTTTTAATTATCATGACATATTGAGTGAGGGACATAAAAGAGATACAGATGTGTTTATGCCGCAGTTGGGACACACATACTCTTTTGTCTCCTATTAGATTCTCATTGCTTGTGAGAATTGTATTCTACCTCAACACAAAATGATTGTGGCTTTACTTCTGCAAATCCTAGCTGGTTTGGGATGATGTATGATGATTGCCTGTCTCACAGTTCTAGACTGATTTATGAAATTATGTCTCCTGCTGCCTAGTACAGAGCAAAGTAATTTAACAAAACCACTGTTACGTTACTATTTTTCCTCAGTAAGCTTATCATATGTAGCCCTGTCACACAAAGTAATTAATGGGTAATCTCAACTTTTCCCAGAAAAGCTTCAATGACTTCTTTGGCAGAAGTCAATGATTTGGATGACAGAAAAATCACACCAAAGTTACTTCATAATCACCATCACCATCATCTACTCATTCTGAGCTAGTCCTGCCCTACAATATGTTATCTTCATGCATTCCCATATTGGAACAAGGATATAGCTCAGTGAAATTGCCCAAGAATCAGTGACTTGCCTTGGACATCACATGAACCCCAGTAATATCTGACTTGCCTGGGACGATCATATATTCGCAGAGCCAAAAAAATACGGAGAGAGAGAGACAGGGAATCTGGGACAATATGCTGAAAAACCAGAAGTCCTACTGTTAAGGTCTGCAAAAGCAGAAATTCCACTGTTAATACCTCTGTTGTTTTCCTGGCTAGCCCATGCTTGAATGATGCATCATTGGTACTTCTTTAGCCAAAGGGGAAAAGGGACATGGTCAAAAGTCCTGCAGTTCTGCTCCATGAAAACCGGTGCAGGTCAATAGCAATGATTCTATTTTTCATTATTAGATCTTTATTAGAATTGTAATTATCAATAGCTTTCATATTTTACAAAATTAAATGCCACATCACAAAGCAGGACACCACACTGGTTCATAGTTACATTTGTAAAATAATTGAGTTCTGAACTGAAATACCAATAAGCCAATTTTGATTGTGCACATGAACCAGGCTTTTCTGAGCACTTTTGGAAATCTTATAATGCTTGGCTGCTAGGAAGTAAAATGCAGCTTACTAAAGCTAAGTCTGCTCCTGCTTGCTGCTGTATTTTGTCTTCCAGATATCTGAAAACACTGAAGCATCATGCAAATGTTTTTAACAGAAGGAAAAAATGTTATTACACATATAGTGCTTAACTACATTTATTAGGATAGGAAGGATTTCCACTTACCTAGTTTTCATGAACTAAATGTGTTCCCTCTGTAATGAATGGAGAATACTTGACATGAAACCACTTATGGCATTCAAGGATAAACATGTGGGTCTGTCTCACTGTGTTTGTAAATTGAAGCTACAAAACTTAAGCTCTACTAAAGTTATACTAAAAGCTTAAAATAAAGATTAGACAAGTTCAGCTTTGTATTTCAGAGGAGTATAAAAGACAGCTTATTTAGCAAGGGCAGGTCTTTTCACTTTACCTGTTATTCACCACATCTCCTGCTTTTCTAAGCAAAATTTTATGCTTCACATCAACCACTCAGGAATTCAAACACTGTCATTTCAGAAATTAGGGTTCAGCCAAAGTATTTCTTTTTTTATCCCCTCATTTCATTATCTTATTCATCTGATATCACTCACTTTCAACAGTAACTTGCCCTTTCTCCTGCTGGGAAAAGAGAAATGTAACAGTTCCTGCTGTCCAGAAGAATTTGATAAAGACATTAACTTCAGTTCTGTAACACTAAGCAAGCACTGCCTTGCAAAGGCTTACAAGAACTAACAAGAGGAGACTTCTTCACTTTTACTGTAATATGCACACAACTTGTCCAGTCTCAAACAGGAAGTAGAAAGTGAAAAGGTCATCTTGTCTGGAAAGTGAATTATTTAGGTGGTGATATGATTCTATATTTTTGTGCTGAGTCAGTACTTTGTCTACAAATGGCCCTGATATTTAAAAAACCTCGCTGTAGATAATTAAAATTTGGCTATCACCTTCAATGACACCCAGATTCAAAAAGCATATTGGGAAGCAGGAGGAGATATTCAAGTTCACATAGTAACCTTGAAGACTCAAATGGGAAGAATCAGTACATATGACCCAGAATACACAAGGTCTGCCATGAATCAGGGAAATAACTTGGTAGTAACTAAAGTTTTACTTAACTGTTGTTGACCAGCCCCATTATGATTCTGAGAAACATTTCTCTATTCTACTACATAGGACAGCTTTCTGAGATTATTAAACACAACCTTACATTAGCTAGCCTGAATACTGCCAGTAGTGAAGCCCTGGCATTCATTAATGAGGACTGTGTCCACATTCTTGGGACAATAAATTATTTCTTTTCAAATGAAAAATAAAACCTGAGTCCAATGAGATTCCAGTTCTCTGCCATCTGTTCTTTGTGGGAGCCATTAGAGGGAGGTCATGGCTGTAGACTCTCTCCTACATCTAAATCTTAGATACTGTTTTTTCTCAGAAATATACAAATAGAGCTTACACTACTTGCTGAACAGTTAAGGAAAGCAGGAAAAACCACAGGAAAAAGAAAACATATTTTATTAAAAAACACAATTGTGAATACCATTGTAATAAATTTTTTTCACCTGTGTATGTATGTAACACAATAATAACAGATTTCTTCAGCATTTCTATGTAATCACATGTGCATGTATTTTCATGTCCTAGAAGTAAGTAGGTTTTCTTTCTTCCATTCCCAAGAAAACAAAATGGTCATCCAAAGCAAGGGCTGCTTTTCCTAAATGTCCAAAGAATTTTATTATCCCCAGACTGTAAATCAGAAGACAGTAAGCAGAAACCAAGTAGTGCCAACAATATCATGAGGAAATTAAATGCCCAAAATGCTTTTCAAAGAAAGATATCAAAAAGCTTAGTATTATTTAATTTCCAAACCATAGATACCAAGAGTTTTAAATCATTTTTTCATACTTAGCTGTGAGCATCTGGTATTTTAAGGACCAAAAATGCCCTGTATGTATGGCAACTTGTCTTGCTGCACCTTTTATGAAGATCAAAGTATTGAAAAGATTCTTTAAATGATGGAAAACCAGTTACGTGCAGGAAATTGAGAGCTCAGGTGAAGGAATAAAAAAGTTTCAGAAGATGACCTATCAAGAGCTAGCTATGAAATTCATGATGGTCATAGACCTAAAGTGCTTTATCTGAAAGTTACATTCAATTAAATGAAATCTTTGAAAGACACATTTGCCTACACTTGACAAAGTAAAAACTTTGATATTTAAATAAATACCTCAAAATCTAGTCATATATACAGAAGCCTGCATTCAATAATTTTTATGCTATAATAATTATTTTAACTTTATTACATTTTTTCCTGTGTTACAACAATATAGAAGATTGCCATCACACAATAAATACAAAAAATTAATATCCCCTTCAATACATAGAACACAGAACATTTGAGCTGTCAAATCTTCACAATAGAGGAAAAAAGTCTTCTCCTGCTCTCTCTAGGTCTTCTCAATTTGCATATCTGTAACAGAAAGAATTATATGAAAAAAATATCAAATTACAAAATTATGAAGGCACAGAACACTTCATAGTTTTGCACCCCTTTCCTAGAGTTTGAAGGTACCAAAAAGTTTCCTTCATTGTCAAAATTAAAGATCTAAAAATAAATTAATAAAAAGATCATACAGGAAAAGATCATAATGGGAGGAAATAAAAGTGGTAGTTCAACCATACTGTTGGGAAGTGCTCTTCAGCAAATACAGTGAGATTGCTGTTGCTTAGGTCCCCCTTTCTTTCAAATACATTTAGTGCTCCCTCTGTCAGTATTCCCAGTGGTGTATCTCCAGGCCCTAACTCTTTGGCTTGGAGGTCAACACCTGCAGGAACAGCAGGTTTACTTGTAAGTTTACTGTAGTAAAGTGTAGCAGGGAGGGATCTGGGATGCAATTAATGCAAGTGCTTTAGAAGTCAGCAAGAAAGGGAGAGGAAAACCTCAATAATTTCACCCTCCTGTTCCACACATAGGATGTTCCATGGATTTGAGATATTTGGTCATATATTTTCTTGTTTTGTTGAGACAGAATCATACCTGCTCAAGTGGCTGTGACAGGTTCCTGTCCCCTCCCTCACTGCCATCACTACCCTTACAGACATACATGAACAACTCTTTCTATAGCAAAAGTGCAAGCTGGAAAAAGTGACTGGTTTGGGTTTTTATATACCTCCCCATCACATTTTCCTTTGTACAGCTTTACTTTTTATTTTAAAAACCAGATTCATTATTTGCTGTAACAAAGAGTACACAATGAGTTATGATGGTGAGTTTGTAAGGCACAGAATGGGAGGCTGTATTATCTCTTGAAGGCTCTGTCTGTTGAAACAAGAGGCTAAATAAACCAGCCTTGAATCAATGCTCCAGTGACCAGGGATGGTTTATGCCCTGTCAAATTTGCTACTAATTTTTTCTTTGTCATTTATACTTACATTTCAGCTCTTGGTCTTCAAAAGAAGCATCTCTGCAGTTGTGTGTATCCTTATCTTTTGACAGCACTGTAAGCAAAGGACATACATACACACAGCAGTGAGCACAACTTAAACTTTTCCTATAGTGGTAAATCTGTGTTAGAAACTGCCACCTCAGTCCACTCAGGATCTATAGTGATTTGAATGCAGAGCAAGGGATGAGATTAACACCAATCTGTGTCTGTTTGGGTAAATATTCTCAAGAGAGTTTTTCTTAGGAAAAATGCCAATGGCCAGCATGAACTAATTTTCCCACAGCAATTTAATTTGTGGTGGTCTCCAAATACCCATACCAAAATTAAAAATAAGTCAGTCAGTAACCAACTTGAGAGGCAGCAAAAGGATTTTAATCTCTCCTCTCCTGCTGTAAGTATTAAGTCTCTTTGTTCTTTTCTTAATTTTCTTCAATACCACCTCTCATCGTGGTACTGGCCTTCCACTGATCTTTGCTCATAGTAAATATCATCAATATTACAACACAGAAACTAAAGCTTCCCTGAGTTTCGCTCAATGGGGCCAAACTCTCTGTCATTAATGTTGTGACGAAGACCCTCAAATGCATGCTATGATACTGGAGAAAACAGAGGAATGTGCCAGCACAGTTCAAATTGCAGCAAAAAGTCTGCACATCAGGATGTGATGCATTCTAAGATATTTTTTCCAGGGAGCCTGTCCCATCCTACTGCAGACTTTCCAAAACACAGCATACTGCTCTGTCCTTTTCTTGTGCATATCAGGAGTGCAACAATTCCTGGAATAAGTATACTTTTCTATCACATTTTCCTTTCAAAAGGATGACACAGTCATGAAAAGCCATTCTTCAATTGTAATTTATAGTTGTTATGTAAATGAAATGTAGAAAGCAAAATCAAAATGGAATTTAAATCTCCATTTGGTTGTCACCATTATGAAGTTAACTCTCAAGCAATTATTTCCACAAGAATCACACTCTGCTAGATTTATGTCATATGTACATACCTCCTATTGATGGACTTGCCACAGGTGTTCTGTTGCCCTTATTTGCTTTAGCTGAAAGAACAAAACAAAACAAATTTTAAAAACAATCCAAAATACTTGATTTAGATCTAGTGAGGAGCTTAAATACATTGGTGGGAGGGGCACACATTACATAGTGTAATCATTTGTTCTCAAAACACTAAACTTCTTCAAAAACTTTAAAATAAATTCTTCAGTGCTCCCAGTCTCTTGGTTTCCTTTCCAACTTTCTTTTCTTGTTTCTAAGCTGGAACTCCATTGATACTATGCACTAACATCACAGGAAAATACTTGTTCAGATGGTTTCCCATTGCATCTTTTCACCCAGAATTTGAACATACCAGAAAACAGGGAACAGAACAGGGATCTTCTTCCCAGTGCTTTTTAGGGGAAAAATGCTCACATTCTGGGAAGATTCTGTTCTGAAAAAATCACTTGTCCAGTATCCCAGGACAGCTTAGGGTTTAAGACAAAAACCTATTGTCACTCGTTTAGCTTTTGAATCAACTTGTAGTTTATCAAACACACACACACTCACATGTGTACGTGTGTATATATAGAGGAAAGCTAATGTGATGTGCATTACCACATACACACACAAACAATAAATATTAGTCAGACAACCTAGGAAACTTCTGACCTTCAATGAAATCCCCAGCGGGATTCTTTTGAGCAGTCAAGGATTTTGCTGTCCCTTCTTCCACTTTCATTATTAAGCTCTTAGGGTAAGCATATTCTTGTACTTGCAGGATTATCTACAGTCCTCTTGCAGCCTGTTAGAATCACCTGCAAGCCTGTTAAGCTTATGAATACTTCTCTCAGGATGTTTCCCTAGCTGCCCCCCTCCCCCACCCAACCTATGAAAGAAAAGTAAATTAACAGTACTTCTTTCAGTTTAAGCAACAAGTTTAAAACCTTTTTTTTCCTTTATTTGGGGTGCTAGCTGTAGTCTTTTCATACATAGACAACCTACAAATTATTTCTTCAAGTTTTTCTTTTGTTAGCTAGCAAGTGAAAACAAATTATTGCCAATGCTTTAGTTTTTGAAGATACTGTGATGCTGAAAATGTCCAATATTAATTCAGGAAGTGAACTGAGAAAGCTCAAAACTTAGTAAGGAAATCAATGAAATATTCACTTAAAAAAACAGGCACTCTCATAGTTCAGTGAAATTTTTCAGAGAATGCAGAAAAAGAACCACTAAAAAACCTCTAATATCCTGTCTCTAGTATCCTATCCTATCCCAGTCAAAAGGGAGGAAACAGTACAGGAACCTATTTCCAGTAGGTAAAAAGCAAGCGCTTTGATATTGCAACAGGTTAGACACTAATTTTACTGCTTACATCCTTACCTGTAAGAAAGATTAACAGACATACATGAGTAAGTGGGGTTTGTGAGGGGCTGACAACCTGTTTCACTCTGTCAACTTGCTAGTATCTACTCAAGTCCAGCAAAGAAAGAGAAATAAACAATGTGGTAAAAAACCACATTCTACTCAGCAAGGATGAATTAACAAAGCAGATTGATAATAACTGAGATAACTCTAAAATAAATAATTTGTGTACCTTTTCTTATGCAGAGCAGAAATAGAAGCACTGATCCAACAAAAGCAGTAGCCATGAGAGTTGCTCCAACAAAGCGTCTGCTCTCAGTCTGGAGAATGCCATCAGTTGAATCTTCAAGAAAAACAGGTGGGGGATAAGACATTACATAAGATCCTCCCTTTGTATTTCATTTTCATTATTTTTGCTATGAGCAATTAAGACATGATAACAACATAATAGATTGAGTCTAAGGTCAGATGTTAATGGTACACATAACGCTTTTTTCAAAGAAGGCGGGGGGAAGATAGAACATATTAATATTTGTCTTTGTTCTCTGCATTCCCTGCGATAGTGCCTTTGACCCCATCAGAATTCTGCTTGTTAAAGTGTTACATCTGGCCTAGTTTCCTGTCAGGATTACAGGAAAAAGGTAATTGAGAAAGGGGACAGAGCCCCTTTCACCTGCTCTAAATGCAAAGGGTAAGTGGTCTTCTTGAATCCCAGATATTTTTTCTTATTAAAATCAAACTTACCCATTGAAAAAATTACTTGGTTTTCTCACTCTAAACCTGCCTGTTTCAAATCCTTGTCATGTCCAAAAAGTGTGACTGCACAGCGTTTCTAAAAGTAGGTGGTGAACTGAACGAGGGAAATGACCTCACTAAGTAACAGTCTGACAAAGAGAAATACTAGTTTTGAGTTGGATCGGGTCTCCAGTCTGGTTGAAAACATATCAGGCTACAATGCAGAAAAGAATAATCAAAACCAAAAACAGCAGAGGAGCTGCCCAGTTAAAAGGTTTAATTAGGAATTGTATTGGTCTTGTCCATTTATGAGTTTTCCTTAAATTCCGACTTTATGTGGAAAAAAAAAATCTGTGTACAATTACTTAAATTTAAATATGCTCAAAGCAAAGGCTGTAGTGGCAAAAAAAGACCATATTGTTCAAGTTTATGTGACAGTGATCATCAACAAACTAAAATATTCTTGGAAGAAGGAAGGATTTAATTTCCAGGTGCTGAGTTGCATGTCTTCCAAATAATGGAACTTTTAAAACATTTAGACTCAATTTCCACATACCTGCAGGTCACACAAAATTCCTGTCTTTAAATTCTGACCATACATGCATGATGAACATGTTAGTATGGTGAAAGTATACATTAATAACAAAACTTAATTACACAGGTATTTCTTTCTAGCCTCTTCAAAATTTGGAAAGAGAAACAAATCACAGCTGATTTGACTGGGACAAAATTACATCAGCACCTTGAAGTAAATTAAATTTACAAGTGTTACCTGCTATGTGTAAAATGGCAGTTGTATTTTCTTGCAGCTCTTTATTCCAGAATATACAGTAAAAAATCTCGTCAATTCCACTTTTGATGGTAAGGGTACTTGTCACACGGTACAACCGGTCACTTGCAGTTTCAAACCTTGTGTTTGCCTTATAAGTCAAATCTTCATAGTTTCTATTTTGCCATATCACTTCAGCTTCTGGATATCCTTCTGACTGACATGTCAACCTCCATTCATTGTGTCCTGTGCTCACAACTCCTTGGTTTATAATTCTGTAAGGAGCTAAACAATTGGGGAAAAAATATCATTACCAATAGGAAGCTAGAAGAACAGCCTGCATTAAATGAAGACACCTTTTCTTTTTCCCCAGCCCCCAGGGTCAAGTTTCAGCTTGGATTTTCACAGGAAAAGTAAGTAACACTATTGAGTCTGTAACTGAAGGTACAGGATTTATTACAATTTTGAAGTGGTTTAGAAAGTTCAGTAGGCTTTAAGGTCTTTCTACTCTCTAAGTGGTTTTGCAACCTGATTTCTTACATGTCATAGGGGATTTAAAGGACAAAACACAGATTCAACCTAAACAGAAGTGCCAAATTACACAGCTGCACAAGCCCCATCGGGCAGCTCCTGTCTCCAACGCAGTTTCTTTAACTGCTAATCCAGATATATCTTACTTCAGGGTCTCCTCTGAAATCTGTTAAGAGTATCAGAGTATTGAATCTCTGGTAGTAGCACACGCACCCTTAACTTTCAGATGGATTGTCTTGTAGTCAGCTCCCCCATAGGCAATAACACAGCGGTAAACCCCTGCATCTCTGAGCTTCACATCAGTGATCTGAAGGAGAGACCGTCCCAAGTTCAGATTCTCTTTCAACAATTTTATTCTTCCCTTAAAGTCAATGTGCTGATTTTTTAAGTCTTCCTTTCCTTTGTGAAGTACATAAACCTGCTTCAACTCATCTTTCTTTTCCCAGCTGACACTTAAATCTCTAAACTCTAATTTCCCATTCACTGGAAATGTGCATTCCATGGTCACATTGTTCCCACGTTCCACAACGCAGAGTGACTGAGGAGCTTCAACAGTAAATAAAGCTGAAAAACAAAATTTGGAAGAAAACTCAGTTTTTAAATAATACACCTAATCTTTGAAGTAAGACTTTGAAGTCATGTCTTACCATATCCATAGGAAATTTTAAGGACCAAAGTATCTGCTCTGTTCTGAAAAGTTAATGTATGTTGTTGTCCAAGTGTGTGACAAAACACAAGACCTCTGCTATAAACACACACAATGGGCACTCATATCTGCAGACACCTGCTTTGTGCACACACACAGTGTGATGCTGTACTAAAAACAGTGAACTGTATACGCACCGCCCCTCAGCTGTTGCTTTGAGAAACACTGCCATGGTAACAGGTAAGAGTTAGTACCTCCATTGGGAATGTTCTGTTTATATAAGTGCCAGTTGTTTTTTACCCACAATGTTAAAGAATACACAACATCTCCCAGGTTTGATAGAGCCTAGAAAACCTTTGGTGTAATGCCAATGGTAGCTTGTTTGAAATGGTGCCTCCGCTGGAACACTGACAGGGATTTTAACCTGGCCCCTTATCAAAATACATGCATCTAGTTTCATGTAAAGCTATGCTTAGACCTTTTCACTTAAAACATTAAGGGAAAAAACCTCAAATGCTAGCAGCTGAAGGAAAACTGGAGAAATTAACATTTCTGTCCTTAGACAGAGAAGGAAAACATACTCAAACAGTTCTACTGCTTTTTACAGCTTCTTACCATTTAGGAAATGCCAGTAGAATAAAAATACATACAAAAACAAAGGTCTTCCCATTCTGTAGATGGAACCTAAAATGATAAAAAAATAGGCAAGTATAAACACATACTCGTTTTCTGAGTTCCACTGTCAAATACACTTTATAGTCAATCCACACAGAGAATTGGACAGGAGACACTGAATTCCACCCTATTTAAAAACAGGATGAAACTGCACCCAGTAGATAATCGGGCAGAAGTCTTCCTGTATGGGTGGGTCCAGGAAAAACATCTTACTTTATTTGCTTTAAGTATCTGTTCTTGACTATGGCTAAATAGATGCTTTATCATTATCTGCTGACTAGTGAATAAGTACTCACAAATTCACAGTTGTACCTCTAACTATAGCAGGGAATGTTGCTCCCATTAGGAGAATTAAAGAATTTTCTATACTGTCAGTGTATAGAACTTGGACTATACTGTCAGGAAATAGAACTTGGTTCTTCCCCACCTGTTCACTTTTTATTTTAACATACTGTGAGTGAATACACCCTGCTTTTTTACCCTGGTCCCACAGTACATACCAGAAGGCTCACAAAGTTACATATATTGTGAAAACAATTAATGCAGTAGCTCATCTCGTAACATGTATTTACGCAATAACAACTATGAATCACCTCTTCACACAATAGTGCCTTTGTAAAACAGTGACAAGGCCAGTCAATCTACAAGAAGAATCTATTGCCTTGAATTTCTGCTGCTTTACCTCTGAATACAGAAGTAATTTCACTATTCTGTCAGAAGTTTTTCCTCTCTTTACTGGCATAGGTTTTATAGTCCTACACAACATTTTAACATTTTAAAATGCTTATTAATATCAACTCATACATTTAATCTTCACACACCCACTACTTTTGGTAAGTCTGTATTTTAAGTCATAAATACAGAAAATGGAGTATTTTTTTGCTAAATAAAGTTCTAATTTTGGCCCCACAAACATCCACCAAAATAAGGAAGGATTGCCTTTAGCTGTTTTCTAGTGGTAGTTTCAGAATCTGCATAAGAAATTTGACAACTGTTACATTCACAACACTCCCTAACTGACAGAGCTCTATCTTGACTGCCATCCTTCAAAATTTTTATGTTTCTTCCTTCTTTCTCTGATTGTCAACTTTAAGATGATAATGACAAAACAATTTTGTCTTCAATTCATAAGACACATGTGCCCTTATAGTGCTACGGCTTAAAGGAACTAAACTCCTTCTAACAATTTGATTCAAACTACTTCTTTTCCTCAGATTGCTGCTGTCTGATCCCAACAGACGATTTGCAGCAAGCAATGCATATGGAGCTCAGAAAGAAAGGCAATCCACTACATTGTTAACAATGTAAGCATAGTCTGAAAACAGGTGCAGGAAAAATACAAAGAAAATTCTCAGGGTGCAAGATCTGATTAATTGACAAATCCTAGACTTCCTAAAGTGGTTAGGTACCAGTCTTATTCCTTAGCCACAAGTGATGTCCTTGAAAGCACTAGAAAATTGCAGCCCAATCCTGTGGGTCCCCAAGAACTTCTCTGAACACGTATGCACAGGAATGCCTCCGTCATGATTCCCCTGCTAGAGTAACAAGCACACCAGACCACCAACTAAGCTCCAAAGTAACACTTCTCAAACAAGATAGAGGTATACCCATCACACAAATGTGCCACAATCACCCTTATTCTGGAGACAAGCCTACCACAGAGACTGACTGGGTATTGTGCACTTCCCCATCAGAATGACCAGAGCTGCAGCACACTCAGACTCAAAATCCTTTCTATTTTTTTTATTTTTTTATTTTAAGTAGAGGCAGTAGACTGCTCGTAACAAAGCAGACTGCTTGAACTAGTACACTGCTTGGAACAAATAGTATGTGCGCTACAGTCAGGATACTGAAAGATACCCATATTCCTGCCTGCAACCCCTATCCACCTTTTTGACAGGAAAACTGAGTGCTGGCATGATCTCCAGGAGAGGTGCTCTCATTAACTCCTGGAAGACAGACGACAACAAGTTAGCTTTTATAGTCCTAAGACCCATGTTTATGTCCTGGAATTGCTGAAACTTATTAGCATGCTTTCTCCTGCTGTAGAGGAAAACAAGCTTTACAATACACAAAATAAGAATGACCATTACTTACAAATTTCCTCAAGACTGAGAAAGTTTGCTGCTGTATTCAATTTTTCACTTTCAGAGGGATGAAAATGTAGGTCCAGGTCAAATCCAGGTGCACATGCAAAAAGAAAACCACTGCAATAAGCATTATAGAACCTCCTCTTGTTTCACCCGAGCAGAAGAATCCTCCAGATCAGTTTGAGACCTTGACATCAATCAAAGTCCTTACCTAAAGCTATCTGCTTGCTGTTTTTCTTACAGAACCAACTACAATGCCCTTTCTGTCCTCCTGCCACCTTCCAACATCTGTGGCAAATAGTTTTTTAAAAGCAAAGTATATTCTAAACTGTGCAACTGTGCCTCAGTACTGCTGCTGCACGTTTCTGCCACCATCAAATGAAAAAGACAGGAAAAACCAGAACTATTTGTCAAAGGACTTCATGTGACAACTTAAATGTTGATGTAACTACACCTACTTCTTTAGGAAACTTCCCCATTATTGGAAAGTTCCCCAGCAGGGAAAATTCTGTATTGCTAACAGTGGTTCACTGTAACCAAACACATAAATGCTGCAAAAATTAGAACATAAAATGCCATGGGCATTTTAAGAAACACATAATCCAGTCAAAACTGTGTGTGAGCACCAGTCCTTGGAACACCAACTGCAAGTGGTCATTCATCTACACAAACTCAGGGTCCATAGATTATTAATCTCAAGCCATGCCAAAAAGCTGCTAAGAACAACTAGAACTTTCTACACAGTTTTCTCATGTCTGTAAAGGTCACAGGAATAGAAATAATGTAGGAATAGCAGGAAAAGCATTTCCTAACCTCCTCTTGTAAAGACAGGTATTCTCTTCCCAAGATTTGGACACAGTGAAGGCCCCTTGGCTTGCTACTGTGTAATGAAAAAAGAGATCTTAATCCTATGTACTATGTTAGCAAAAAATAGAGAGCACTGTCTTTTTCATTTTCTTGATTCTAGAAGTCCTTTAAAGAACAGAACCCCCCTCCCCCCTCAAGCGTTAGAAGCAAAAGGATGTACTCACATTAACTTGTAGACTGTAGAGGGAGAACCGAGTCAACAGCACAAAATACAACTCTAAACATATGCTTCATGGTAAATTAATTCTCTTAAGTTGTCTTTACATACATCAGAAAAGGGTTGAAATTCTCAGAGGACTTAAAATTCTGTAAAATGAGCACTCTAAAAATTTTCTGTTTTCTTCTTTCCACTTGACAGCCTGCTCACAGGAAGAAAAGCCTGTCATGGAAGAAAAACCATGTAATGTACAAACTGATTAAGGTTAATGTTTTTACTTGATGTGTGAGATGAATGTGGAAACTGTGGTATATAAAATAGCTGAATGTAGCATTTAGGTTGTAACAACCTGAAACTACCTTAGGAGATTGAGGGGGTGGATATTCGCAGTAGGTGAGACCGATAAATGTTAATTTCCATTGGTTTTTTTACTGCTCTTAAAAATAGGCTAAATTATATTGTCTCAGTAAAGGAAAAAAATAAGGTGCAACAGAAAGAAACTGAAACACATTTATAAAGTACTGTGAGATCAGAGAAGCCACATTTCATTGTAGTGACCTTTCAATGTCAGGAAATCAGTTCCTGCTTTTTCATTGCTTACCTTGAGGTCACAGGGTTGCATTTTTTATGTAAATTTTTAACAGCAAATAAAACACCAGTACAGGTGGCGTTTTGTTCTTTTTTAATTTTGTTGTTTATATACACATACTCATATATATATATATATATATATATATATATATATATATTGTGAGTACAGATGATATATATGTATGTACATACAGAACTTATGTAAACCAGCCTTCGACTGAATTTGTGTCATTTCTGCTCAACAGGGACATATATCTATCTAAATATATATATATATATATATATACACACACACACACATCTACAGGCACACAAGTACATTTTACTGCACAGCTCTATACTGCGGTGGTGGAGTTCGAGTTTTGGGGTTTTTTCACCTGTTTTGCAACAAACTTCCCAGACACCTATCTCAGTCGTGCCTTGGGGCATTCCCAAGCAAACCTCAGGATGGGATGAGGCCGGTGCAGCACCAGGACGGGCCCCGGCCACCGGCAGCCCCGGGCCCCGCAGAGCTGCCGTCCCGCTCCTCCCTGCCTGGCGGCTGCTCCCTGCCTGGGGCTCTCTCCGCGGCCGCCGAGGCTGTGCGGAGCGTCTCCCACCCCACCTCGGCCAGATCCCGGTCGGGCCGGCTGTGTGACAGCCCGCCCGCGGCCCCGGCCCCCCG